AGAGAGAGAGAGAGAGAGAAAGAGAGAGATCGCCCGTTCGCTCGCTGGCGGCTTGCGATCGGCAGCGGACGTGGGCAGATTCTTCGAGGTTTTCTTCTGCGCGGTCGTGCGACCCGCGCGGTGCACGAACCTCTTCCGGGTGCGCCCCAAACCGTTCGTTAGCCGGCTCACTCGCTCGCTCGCTCGCGAACGTTCGCGAGCGAGCGAGCGAGCGAGCGAGCGAGCGGCGCGGCAATTTGCCGTGATTACTCGACGAATATTTGCACATCTCGAGCAGACGTGCGCGATACATTGCCGAAACTATGCTCCCAGCTGAGATGAACGCGTCGTCACCTGGTAGTTGACGCGTGGCTACAAATAAACTCACGATTCCGGCGTGGATCTCGCGACGGCGACGCGAGAGACGCACATCGGCATCAGCATCTGCGGCAACGGCAGCGCGCGCGCACGTGCGTGCACTCACTCACGCACGCACGCACGCACGCATGCACGCACGCACACACGCACACACGCACGCGGAGAAGACACGGACGCGGCGTATGGGATATTTATTACCCACCTCGGTAACGCGTCTTCTCCCTCCCTCTCTCTCTCTCTCTCGCTCTCTCGCTCTCTCTCTCTCTCTCTTCAGATACGATCGGGGTATCGACGCGGATGCTTAAACGCGCGCGAACTTGAAACAATCAGCGGCCACTCTCGTAGAACTCGTACGTACAATAACATCCGAGCGTCGTTGCGCGCTAGAAAGAGGAAGAAACGACAAGACAGATAGACGGGGAGAGAGCGAGGAAGGGGGGGGAGGGGAGAGAACTCCATTCCCCCTTCACTTGATGCGCTGTGCACCGGAGGCGCCCGTCGCCGGTTGTAATTTCGAACCGCTTCCGTTTATCCGCCGTCGTAATGTTCGCCTCGCCGTACGATCTTATTACCGGAATAATAGGCAAATAGAAGTCGCGAAGATAGGGAGATGTACACAAACGCAGCCGCGCTGTACAGAAGTACCCGGGACAAGGGGAGACAGGGGCCGCCGGGGAGAAGAGAAGGGGATAGAATGACAGAAGGGGCGAGCGTCGAAAGGAGGAGGGGAAGGTGGAAGAAGGAGGAGAGAGAGAGAGAGAGAGAGAGAGAAAGAGAGAGAGAGAGAGAGGAGACATCACGCGTGACCTAGGACAACATACCGCGCGACCTGCATGCCAATCTCTCGTCTTTCTCTCTCTCTCCCCCCTCCCTCTCTCTATCCATCTCTCTTTCTCTTGTACTCTCGCGCGTTACTCGCACATTCTTTCATTTCTCTCTCACACGGACGCGGTTTCTCTTCTCGTGTCGCGCTCTGCCTCTCTCTCTCTCTCTCTCTCTCTCTCTCTTCCGCTCATTCGCTCTCTTGGCTCCTCTCGCGGCGTTTCATCGGCTGTAATAGGCGTACCGAATTGTAACCCCTCGTTCTCTCTCGGCGATCGTGACGCATCGATCGTGATTTTAGTACGAGGCGCCGCGCGATGCTATCGAACTCAGGGGCAGACTGGCCCCGCGGATTTTGGCAGGCAGACATCTGCGCGAGCAACGCACCACGAATAACAATGGGGCCGCTACGTAATTTGAATTTGGCGGACGTGGTCGGATACGCGCGATACACGAAGGTGGCACTCTTACCCGGCCCACGTACGAAGAGCCGTGAGCGGGGCGAGAAAAACCAGCGAGGTGGTGGCTGGCTTTTATTCGGCGAAGTAACTGACGTCAATTCCCCCTTGCACTCTGCCCTTCCGCACCGCCCTGTGTCTCACGCCGATTAGTCGATTAATAGAGTTGCCGTCGGGCGTGTCGCAGTTTGATCGATGAGACGAGGCGTGAGCCGTGCTAAAATTAAATTCACGAGAACCCGACTCGAGAGGGATCCGAATCTCGCCATCGGAAGGCCCGGACGAACGATGCTCTCGTGATTGTCACGACGTGACATCATCGCGATGATGATGGAAATTGCAATTTCTTTTTCTGTTTCTTATTACATTTGTAGGGAAAATGTATTGTGTTGAATTAATTGTTGGATTTATACCACTTGCGTCATTACGTTTAGCAAATTTTTCGTCACACTTTACATTGTTTTGAATAAATTGTGATAATTGTCTTCGTATTTCTACTTCTCGTCCTATTTAATAAATATAAACATAGTATAAACAATTCGAAAGGGACATAGCTTTTATATAAAAATTAATAAAATCACTGTTAAATTTATGTACACCTATCGCGGGTCCATCCGCGAGCGAATTCACGTCCTTCCAAAGCAACGGACGTCAAGCACAGAGAGAGAGAGAGAGAGAGAGAGAGAGAGAGAGAGAGAGAGAAATTTCCCGCGGCGCGTTTCGGTGAGAGCGGCACTTCCCTCGGATAATCCGTCGACTATTGTCGCACGTGTCCGCACGGGGCCGAGCGTTAGCGGCGTGTGTCGCGTATGAAAAACGCCGACGGTCGTCGGCAACAACACCGTTCGCGGCGGTGTCATTTA